GTGTACATATTGCTACATAACAGAACACTAAGTATTAAGGTGATTTATACTAATATTACAATAGATTGCGAGACTACGTTATATAGAAAGGATAAGAGAGATGGGAGAACCTACGGGCACGATCGGAAGGATAAGCGGCGGAGTGGTATGCGACCGATCCGTTGGCTGTCGAAGATGGTGTTGACGGCAGCTCCAACCATGGCTGAGGACTCCACGGACACAACCGCTCGGCGAGACGACTGGAACGACGACTGACAGACAGACGAGCGCGGGCCAAGGCAGAGATGCAGAGCACTTCCCGCACTTCTGGATGTTGCATGCGTTCAAACCATGGGAAAGTGTCTGCGTCCGTGGGAAGGCGTAGTATTTCGTCCTCCATAGCGTGAGAACATGGACTGGAGCACGGGAAAGTATCGGCGCATACCTTGCACGTTGAAAAGTCGTGACGAGAGTCGCGACAAGTCACTTGTCCGAGTTTTGGAGCTCACGCGCACGCAGAATACGAGTTCACATTAAGCGATTCCAGGCTTCTTCTCTTGATATTTTCTTGATCGTATTTCTTAGATTTTCTTGGATATACCTCAATGTTCATGTCACGCGAGTGCCCAGTTCTTGAAATACGCTCTTTAGTCTACTGGACTTCCCCGTAAGGTGCTAATGACCGAACAACGTTGCAGCGTGTGCGTTATAGAGTCTATGGATGCTGGTTTTTGACTTATATTTCTCATTCTAAACCGGACACATTATCGAAGGCTGACTGTGCTCATCTTATTGAATGTTACATTACTATGGCCCCGGCGTACCGCGCGCTTGGACTCGGTCGCGCTCCTTGATCGCGATCACTAGCTATAGGGACACTCTCTTCAGGTTCCGCTTCCAGCCCAGGCTACTGCAGCGAGCCGCCTTTGCCAGTCGCTCCTTGACGCAAGGAAGCTGGACGGCCTGGAGTAATACTCTGCAGCATGATCGAGTATACTGCTCCGTCCGGTCGTAGCGCTAGTGCGGGCAATTCCACATCTTAGAAGCTCCACTGTCGGCTGCGGGTTACCTTCAGGTAAATTTGCAGGTGCTCTTTGCCGCCTATGACTACGGGATACAAGGACGAAGACACGGTGGCGGCATCTGGGAGCCCCACTAATCATAATGCGCAGTTACTATCATGTTTACTATTACTGCTGTGTGGACGTAGGCAGATGGAAGGGTAAGCCGTAGATCCTTGGGCAGAGAATGCCTGCAGGCCGAATTGTCGGCGCCTTGCCTGCGGTCTGTCTCGATGCTGAGATCACTCTTCCCTGGACAGAAACCTGTGCATCGTCAGGGTACGGAAGCCACTGTTGTGCGGAACGCATGGCACGGAAGGATCTGCTTAGGATTACCTTTGCGTCCGTTAAAGGCAGCGATTACGATAGATCTCAAAGGGGTTTAGAGGGGACGGGGGTCTCAATAGTACGCCAATGGCGAAAAAAGCAAAGAAATCCGTCAAAAATAAGCAAAAGTACCCCTTTGATTGCCCTTTCATTTTCGACCATGGATGAGCGACGGTAAAGAACGACGTTGTTCGGACGTGTTAACCCCGATAGCCGCCATCATGCCAACAAGCATAGTGTTTTGATTGATAAGGCAATACGTGGGCAAGTTGGAAGATACAGCCGCTAGAAGGGAAATGATCATCCAAAATGAAAAGCCAACAGCAAACAGTCCATCCAGATCATCAACAAAACTAGTGGGCGTCGTCACTGGGGGCGGGGCGTCACGCGGGTCCTGCTCAGCAACCACAGCACCTTTCGCCGTGGGAGGGCCACACATCGCTTCCTTGGCAGCCAAGTAATTGCTCCGTGTGGCGCAGGTTCTCCCCCGATGCGAAAATTCCTTATCGTAATCGCTTCCTTTAAAGGACCACGAAGGCACTTTGATGCATGTTGGAGGGTTAGAAGAGCAATCGCTCTCAAACCAGGACAGTCTGCAAAGGTTAGAAGAACTGGTAGAGAGTGCTGGTTTAATAAACACAAAGAATCGAATACATTTGTGCAGTTTTATAATAAGAAGAATTTATTAGAATTCCATTTTCAATAATCAAATAGATTGAACATAAAACATGAGAAAAATATCCGTGTTCCTTCTCAAGAAATGAGAATAGTAGCAATCAGAAGCTCTGCTCTTGGTCGTACTACTAATGTTGCAGTACATATACATTGAGATGAGCTACTATAATACTGCTATGCTGGGAGCAAAATTGGGATTCCACTGTGTGGCGTTCAGGAGTATCCCACTTGGGCTGATTGGCCTTGACTGGAATAAGGATAGGAGAGTTGGTACTACATATGTGGGCGCTCAGCTGTGGGCTATAGTCCCTATTTTGTGTAAAAAATATTAACAAATTTGCAATAACGCTCAGCAACAACATTCAACAACAGAATGCCCCAAACTGCTTCAGCTCTATTGGCTTGGGAGCAGCACTTTTGGTCGAAGAGAGGAACGGGTGAGATCAAGTTTGCAGATTCCGTTGACGGCAATCATCGTCGGCGGGCATTTCAATTCTGAAAATTACAAATAGACTACGTGAGAAAGCAAAATGTCACAGGAACTCACGGCATCGTCGTGTGAGTTTTCGATCCGTTTCGGTTTCAAGAAGCACCAGATTCTTCGGACAATAAGGTCTCTTGCCAACTCTGCGTGAAGGTGAAAAGAAGTTGACGTGCTGCTGCAGTTGCTCCTTTGTTTTCGCTAAGGCTCTGACCTGAGATATGACATTTAAGTTGGAGTTCACGATTAAAAGGCAGCCTATTGAAATCAGCGTAGAAGAGATTAATTTCGGCGGGAGAAAGAAAAAATGAAAAACGGCCCAGATCTCGAGAAAGGGCCCCCTTCCTTGTCTGTTAATTTCGCATTGATGCGCCTCTCATCGCCTCTCATCGTGCTGCTTCTTCAAACGGAAAACTCTCTCAAAACGGCTGGAGACCCGCGCCAAAATTAGTGATGGGCCGTTCCCGCGACGATAAGCGCCACTGCGAATGTCCCGCATTTTTGCCAGCATTAAATAACTTCCACGAGCATCCGCGTGATCGGTCCGCTAATCCTTATTCGGGTTCGCCCTTCTTGCAACTAGGTGAGTATTCCCTTCTCCCAATCTTCGTCGCTTATCAAGGAATCCTCTTTTAGGTCTAAATCGTATAGCCACCACACTCAAATGCGCCAACGGGTGAGCTGAATCGTGTGGTCAAAGTCACCATTACTATGATGTAAGCAAATACAATATTATGAATCCTATGGTGTTTGACCCCCCCCCACCTGTCTGTGCTCTGCTGTGTCCTCCACAGGAGAGAATGATTGACAAACCATCCAATTTACTATCGAGGAAAACTAAAAGCGACGAGTCAGATTCATAGGCCAAACATAGAAAGTTTTTCCCAGGTGATGTGCCTCCCAAAGCACTGAGCGCCGACACTGCCGCGCCTCTATAGCGTTCTCCCTCTCCTCGCAGCGCTGTGTCTCTCCGTCGTACTACGGCCGGCCTCCTAAGGGAAATTTAGTGTTTTCTATGGTGCTTTTTGCTTTTTCTCCTCACTAATGTTCCTCATTGCACCCCTTGCCTAATGTTTGAACAAAATAAAGCATCAATTGCAATCCCGACGATTCGTGCCTTTAATCGGTCAGCCGGCCACTTGAAATGATGTCTAAACTTGTGTATGTGTCTCAAGACGCTCAGTTCAAATCCGCTTTCGGTACTGTGGAACGATCTGTTGAGAAAATCAAGCTGAAAGCGAGAAACGTAGCGGATTGTCTTTAGCTTAGCCAGTCTAAACTTCAGCGCGATCAGTACTTTCTGCTCTTTGACCATGTTTCTGAAAGAGCAAAGAATGGATCGCATGAGAGTTGAACACAGGACCTCTTGCTAGTGAGTCAGGGTCACCACTGACTGTTGCGGCTCCATGAACTCTTTCTAGAAATCGTACCCAGGTAGTGAAAGCAAGGTCGACCATAGCGTCCCTAGGCAATAGTAATATGGCAGCACCTCTCATTTTTAGGCGCCATGACTGATCAAATTACCTTCAACTGAAGCGCCTTGCAGACAAAAATTGGCTCTGACGTGCAATTCACAAAAGGGCAACAGGCGCTGGTAAACAACTCGTCCCTCGGACTTAGAGCGTTTGAAATCAGGCCGAACGGCGCTGGAACTGAAATGAATCGCCATTGTGAAAAGGGAGTCTAAACCGCCGAAAATAATGAGATTGAACCTATATTTTGTTTTCTCGATAAAGGATAAAGGATAAAGCATTTGCCGTTGATCAATCCCTTTTTGGGATGCGGCACGCATTCTACTTCCATTTGTACATTCGCAGTGGCATTTGAATGCGATGTGGCCTATACAATGACTTGCGGGGGCCAGCCGATGTTCAAGTCAGTGTTTTCCTCTCCGACAAGATACCGTTAACCGACGCCCGGAAGTGAATTCTTGCTGGCCTTACGCACGACCACAACCCATGATTTGATCACGCGACCGCAGCGCATCGTCTGCTCGTGCATCTTGCCATCACCCACTGAGCCGCCTTTTTTTCATGCTCCAAAAAGCCACGGCATATAAAAGGACCGCTTTTACCAGATACGAGGGCAGATACGGATACCATGCAAGACGTGAGAGCGCATTTCTTCTATATTCCGAATCTGAGGAAACCGCGGCGCTGGTGTCCTCGTGTGAAATCTTGTCCCTCATCTCCCTTCCTAGTAATTTTGTGATGCATACCTTTCAATCTGCACACTGCCTTCTAATCCAGGTAACCTCCAAGTAATCTGGATCTACCAAAGCGATACAGAAAGAGATGGTTTCCGAATTAGCGAAACACTTACTCGACTGATGTACTGATCCATGGCTAAAGGTTTTGGAACAGTGCAGCAATGAAACACATCGCTGTTCGGGTTGCGTTTGCACGCAAATCCAGGAGGACATCTTCGAGATCGTGAGCACTGGATCGCTTGGCCTGTGCTGGGGTAAAGTAATGGCTCTCCCAGAGCACAAACACTTTTCGACTCTGAAACACATACGGAGGTGAGCAATAGGAGATGCCTTGTTGAACAAGAAAACGGCTCCGCTTCCACCAAAAACGCTTTCAGGGCGTAGGTTCTTCTCCAAAGGGGGGACATGCTATCATAACAAGCTCGATGGAAATTGTGAAATTCCAGCCATCTTTACAGCGTCCTTCTGATGCATTCCGGTAACAATTTGATGCCGCGCTATAGAGTTCTCAAAGTACGCTGAAACGAACGGGTTAAAAAAGGGGATGAAGTTGCACGTTTGAAACGCTTCAAGACAAGCTCAGAAATCCAGCCTAGGAACTTTCTATTAATTCCATCAGCCGGTGGTGTCTCCTGGCATTAGTTGGGATGCGTATTGTTTGGACGCGGTCTTGAAAAAGGTTCACACTCACTGTCGTCCTTGGAATGAATGATATTTGAGCAGCAAAAATAGTTTTGCACTGAACGTGAGTACGTGCAAGTGAAGCCTTTTGGACAAGGCTTCCCTGTAGCGCACTGTATGGGAATCCCGTTGACACGATACGGTAATCTGGGAGCCAGACAGAGACCTAGAAATAGATCTCAAGACAAATGGAGCGTCATGTTCACAAAGGCTCACCTGAGTCTTCTGCTGTAGACGAATTGAACTCGTTCTGATTGGTTGTTCCATCAACTGTTGCGAATGAAGCCAAGCGCAAGAGACGTACTCAGCAAGGCTTTCTTTCGCAATGGTCACCCTACACAGAACAATGTCGTAAGTTCGAAAAATCCAACTAAGAAGGACTGGATTGCTGACTGGACGAACCTTCCGAATCGTTCCAGTGGGGCAGTTACAGACTCCATCTGCACATTCACCTGCCCCTCTACACTGAACAGTAATCACGCACGCTCTGCCAAGCGCCACCATTGGCAAGCATTCGTTATCATGTAGCACTTGATTCGAGTCACACCCTGAATCTTTGAAGTACAGTATACTTGCTGAATCACTGATTCTCGGTCATTTACCTTTTGGAAGTAACACAATGTCCGCTGCTTCCTCGTGGTAACTCCGGCACCCGGCAAGACCAATCTCGCAAGAACAGCCCCAGACAACGAGATGAATGTCACAAGGAAAACCTATAGTGGCGAGTAAGCAACGACCATCCACAACACATTGAGGCTTACGCAAACTGAAAGCTGATTTACTGGTGTCCTTATCTGGGCACTCATTCACGTAACTATCTGTAGTTGACCGTTTCAGCTTCAAGCCTCACCTTCTCCTCCAGCACAACAGATTTCTTCGTTTCGTTTTCCTTTCACGCAAATGAAGCCTTCTGGACAACTCTGGCCTCCAGTCATGGAGCAGCGTTGATGCTCACCGGAAATTCCGATGAATGCCACCTAAGCAAAGCGGATTATTTGGAGACAGAAAGCAAACAGGAACCGCCTTCACTTCCCTTATTTTTGCACTATTAATATTCAGGTTTTCGTAGCCTTCCGCTAACTAACTTTCAAGACGATGAGGACGGTGTGCGGGAGTGTGTGGGCAGGAAGAGGTGAGTAGGGCGCAGAAGGAACTAGATACTCGCTACACGCCCCAATAGGGAAAAATTCGACCTCGAGAAGAGATGGCCGAGCAAACTCCGCTAAGATATCCGGCACAACCCTTGCGTATGCGGTCGTTATACCATGAAAGGATGCAGAAAGAAAGTCTTCCACTGTCGAACTAACTGGCTGTGACAGTTTTTCCACATTCATATCATAGTTAGTGAATAAAAGAAGTCGCTCACCTTGTAAAGGATTCATTTGAAAAGGTATCTCAACTAATACACTGGTGTGCAAAACTCAAGGACGAACGAAACTTTTCCGTAAGTGTTGCTGCCAAGTAACATAGATTTATGAAGCTTACAATCCGTACAAAGCAAGAAGTGCATAGTATTGTTCAGACGCAAATCACCCAGAGTCATGTTAAGGCTTCGTAGAAGTGTTAAGTAAGTTATGTCACTTCCTTAATCTCGTCTTTAGGTTTTGTAAACCACTGTGCGACAATTGACCCAATTAAGCGACGGAAATAGGTTTTGTACCGTAAGTTAGGGTTTTTGTTATATCAGAGAAGAACAAACCATCGGAGAAGGACAATCGCTGGGAATTCCACAACATTGAAACTGCTTATTCTGCTGACTGAACTGGCAAAAGTAGCCAGCTGGACAGGAGAGTTTGGCGGACGTACAAACCTGAAGTTTTATGAATGAGTTTCAGCTGTTGAGTCTGGCTACCAAAAAAGTTTGTCACCTGAGGTTTGCTTGTGGCACCATCAATAAACGCCACTTGTCTAGATGGACAACCATCACCTGAAACTACGTCGTAACATCCAAAAATTCTCTATTTAGGTTTCAGAACTAACCTTCCGGTGATGAAGGAACAGGATTTGCACCACAGCATTGATATCGTTGAGTGCGAATTGACCATTGACATGTGAATCCATTGGGACAGCCGTGGTTTGACGGATTGAATGGGTCGCATTTGGCGATCTTAAATCATATGTTGGGGTAGATAAATGAGCAAAATTGTTGTTTTTGAAACTGGTCCGCCGCTGGTGCACCTTCGAAATATTCTTCATGAGCAATACCCATTTTCTGACGAGGTCGAAAGCATTCATAATTGCAAGGGCTGACATTGGGCAAGTAAGGTGGATGGTACCACTCGCAGTTCGTTCTTTGGTCGAGTACTCGCAATCACATTTCGCGTTTGCTTTTACTTCGTAAGGGCTGACGTTATCATGCAGAAAAATGAGCTCCCCACGGATGGTGCCAGACTTGGCGAATCCAGCGAATCGCGGAGAACGAGCGATACGCCAGCGATTCGAACGATGCAAAAGCAAGCGAACGATGTACCAGCCACACGACGTAGTTAGAAAAGTCTCTAATTGCTTGCGTTCACTCTTCCACTTTCGCAGGATCACGGGTCCATGAGAGTGTAGGAAAGCAGTGTGAATGGTAGGAACTCCTGCCACATTCCCGCACTGCCAAGTCACTGGAACATCTTTCGACCTGCTGGTGCACCATCAAATCGCTGGCGCATCGCTCGTACCCCGATTCGTTGGCGACCCGCTGGGTTCGCGAATTCTGACACCGGCCTTAGGATCTGTTTATGCAGCAGCTGCGGAGATTCTTGTTTTCGTAGGTTGTCGCATAACTTCCAGACCACGGAGCACTTACTGCTATTAAAACCTGCAGAAATATCTTGGAGGCTCAAAAAATGCGTCGCGACATGCCATCATCGTTGGGCAATCCGAAAAGCTAGTCAGAATATCTGCGCAAAGCTTTCTTTGGCTAATAAATCCAGTTTTTCTGAAGCCCCTTTCGGGGCATCAATTTTACTAAAATATTGATTAGGATTTTGCGAGCGCCAAGCTTTTTCGAAAGTAAGCCATGAGATATACGACGAATTAAATCCCAATTCACAGAGCATCAACGGTATAGCCTATTTGGGGATAGCCCCTGTGCAGAACAGAGGCCGACTTTTGCCCGAGGCTTTCTCATGACCCCTTTCGTCCGACCAAAATTTGTCCAGAGCCACCGAGTTTTTACTTCACAATAGCTCATAAGCATAAAAACAACGAGATTACATAACTGTTCTTTTAGGTTACTTTCCACGTCAGTTTCGGACATAAATTATGGAATCAGAGTCCCTGATTAGCTTTCGTGCAAAGTATTGTACACAAGCTGACTGAGATTTACTTTTATAGTCTATTTAATTTTAAGAAGCACTGCAAAACAGTAGAAAGCAGATGGTGAACGTTTGACGAACGTTTATGTTTCTAAGTACCTCATTCTTGTCCATGAAAACGATTTCTCCTGGAGGACATCCATCGGAGACACCGAGATGCGTTTGGCCTCTGTAAAGAAAGTCCTCGAAAACAGAATAGAGAAAAGTCAACAAAAAACTGACCGACAGCAGTATCCATTTACACCTTCGAATTGTGTCATGCAAGTATATCCAGAGGGACAAGTAACGAAATGGCCAACAGAACAGGATCGCGGCATCGCCGACGCCTCATCCACAAAATAATCCTCTTTATTTGGGCAGATATCTGAAAAAAAGTTTGTTTCACTCAGTCCACCTTTCACAGCTGATGCGTACCTGAGACAGAGCAGCAGTACCCCTGAAGGGCATCTCGGATATCACTTTGGCATTCAAAGCCATCTGGGCAGGTGGATACGTGGGCGTTCATCGTACAACGCATCGCTTGCAGACTCATCTGATCCTTGTAAGGAGCTCGGCCAGGAGGGCAGTGACCTGATGTTTTCGCTTTGTTTATGCGAAAACGGAACAAGCTGAATCACCTACTGCTCTTGGTGGAACCGCAGCAAAAGTAGCGATTCTTTGTCGGATTGAAACGGCAGAGGTAATTGGTGGGGCAGGAGTTCGGCTCGTTGATCAGGCATTCTCGGACGGACATGTCGATAGCATTCAGGTAGGCCTGAAAAGCAGCGGTTTCAGCAACGGGAGGGAGACGGTCAAAATGGAGAGAACTTGCCTTCTCGCCATCCGTACATACTCCCATATCGGTAGCTCCACAACACACATTGCTGTCAGTGAGACTATCAAAGACACACTGCAACAGTAAATTTGTCACCATGGAAAGAGCCTGGGGTACAAGACAAGCAAATATTCATGCTGGAGATATATTTGATCAGTGTGAAGCAGTACTGATCGTCCCACTCTCCTATCTTTGCAATAGATTTTTGGACTCGTAGGTACAAATTAGCACACAGACTCCTAAGTGGAAAGACGCCTATTTGTTCGTACAATACGGTGGAGAATAGGCGCTGTATACAGCAAGCCCTAGCCAGGGATGGGTCCCCAAGAGTTTGTCTCTCTCTATTGTTGACTAAGGAAACGGTCACCGAGCATGTAGAGGCGCAGCCTTAAAGGCACAACCCAGGCAGAAGTCGTGTGAACGCTTCTCTTCGGTCTGTAGTATAGACCCTAGAGGACAATCACAAATGTGGCATTCCCGTGCACGGAAACCAACCGACAAGAGCGCTTGGGCCTTGCAAAGTAAGCTGCAGCTGCATTTTTCTTTATCAGGCTGTTGTCTGGCGCCCTCTCATCTGTGCGCTCTCTCGCCTCATACTCTCCTCTCCGCGCTTAGTCTCTCATTGCCTTAGCACAGCCGATTACGAAGTGAGTGAGCCCTTAACCTGAGCGTTTTCGACGGATTCTTTT